CCACGGGGCAGAGCCAGCACCAGGCACGGCTAGGAAACACCAAGCAGGAGGCAGAGGAGGTGGGATAAGGAGAGCAGCACTGAGGGCTGGGGCTAGGGACAGGCTGTGAGCATGAGGGGCATGTGGGCCCAGGGATACTAGGGGAGAGCCAGGCAAGAACACACAGCACGCTGACAGGTTCAGTACCAGGCACTATCCAGGGGCCACACTCAGAGAAGCCTGGATGCCAGGCTGAGCCAGCAGGAAGCTTGTCCTGAGGCCGAGGAGCTGCAGTGGGACCACCAGAGGAGGGCATGGAGCCAGGCTGCCCAGCCACTGCCAACAAGGTGACTGCTGCATCTCAGCAGACGGCTGCGGCAGCCACGTTCCTGCTGTGCCTCCCTCCACCTGGCCACCACCTCTGCTGACAAGCAGAATTACTCCACAGGCCTCGGGCTCCCAGCAAGCCTGGGAGAGGCCCGGCAGCCGCTCTATTAACACACAAACTGGTGGCCCGGCAGCTGCTGACACTGGGGTTAATTAAATCTATCTCCCCATCAATTCTCATTCAACTGCTATCGATGGCCATTAGATGGGTGACAGAGTGACAAGGAAACAGTAATAGACTTGTCTTAACCCTCAGCTGTGTGGAGGGGGCACCACGCTGCAGTCTCCCAGGAGAGCCCGCCTTCCAACTGCGGTCCCTGGCTCTCTCCCAGGGAGAGCTCCTACCACTGGCCGCCCGCCAGGCTCACCTTGCACCCTGTTCTCACTACAAGTTCTTCCTGGGCATCTCCTCTGCGCAGAGCCTGGCAGGTAGAGACCATAGCAGACCTTGGACCATCCCTACCTTATCTGTGGTCAGCCCAGCCCTTTCTCGGCCGAAGACCAATTCCCAGGGACCTCAGTCAAGAACAGCTGTCACAGCCCTGATGGTCCTGACACCAGCCCCCCATCCTGTGATTATGGTGCTTCACCTGACACACGGCACCGTGCACATGTGGTTAAGGATTCTGAGGTGGGGAGAGCAAGCTGGATTACCCAGGCTCACCTGGTTCCCCAAGAGTGGCAGCAGACAATCAAATGATGTGACAAAGGAAGCAATGTGTCGGTGTGTCGCGGTGAGAAAAAGATGACCAGTCACCGCAGGCTGTGGTACGGGAGAGGGCGTGCAGGAGCCAAGGAAGGTACTCTTCCCTTTAAGGAAAGAGATTTCTCCTAGCGGGGCCCAGAGGGGCCAGAGCCTTCCCAACACCTTCCTATTAGCTCAGTGAAACCCAGTTCAGACTTCTGGTCCCCAGAACTATCAGGGAATAAATTCGTTTTTTTTTTTTTTTTTTTTTTTTTTTAAGGGGTTTTTTTTAAGGGAAAGTTCTGTTTTTTTTTTTTTTTTTTTTTTTTTTAAGAGGTTTTTGCTATAGGGTTTGTGAGCTCGCCACAGAGAAAGAAAGCAAGAAATCACCCCCCACCCCAGGGGGAATGGCCACGTCACAATCCCTTCTCCTCCATTCTCCTCTTGGGATCTTGGGAGGGCATGCACACACACGCGCCCAGCATGAGTTTTAAGCTACTGGGTCCAGGACACGAACTGCGGTCGACTACATGGGGGTCCAGCAACACAGCCATTACGCTAACTGTTGGTCCCCTAAATTCACATTGTTTTAAGTCTGAGTCTGCGGGCACCTGCGGCAGCAATAGGAACTTAACACATTTCTCCGGCTTTCATGTTCCAGCCACACCAGGCTGCCCTGGCTGTGCAAGCCATCCCACTAACGTCTCTCTGCCTTTGTACGTGCTTGCCCACCAGCCAAGATGTGAGCCTGCCTAGCCACCGATGTCTTACTTTAAAGCCTTACCCAGCACCTTCTCCACGAAGCTGTCCCCGATTTCCCCTCTGCAGGGACCGTCTTGGGCTCCTGCTTCCCCTATAGTTACGTGTTCCTCTCACCGAGTACTGCTCAGTTTCCTACTGCTGTGAACTCCATTAGCAAGGACTTGCTGGGCTTCAGAAACCGAAACCCTCTTGCATGTGGCAGCTCAGTCAACACTTGCGAAATGACCATAGGACGAACTAGTCTGTCCTGTGCTAGCTGTGCACAGCAGCACTCTAGCATGGTGGTTGGAGGTGCAAGTTCATGCCAATTTTACATCAAAAACCTAATCTTACACTCTAATATGCATGCTGAAGTATTCTCAAGTATACTGATGCCTGCAACTTATTTTTAAACACATCAGAAATAAGAGATCAATGAGGGATGGGGTGCATAAATAAATGCAAAAACAAGCTGAATCTGTCCAGGTGCATTGTGTAACATTCCATCGGCTGGGCTGCACGTCTGAATCCTCACCAGATATTGGAAGAAGGGCATATGCCCCAGATCTAGAGTCTGAAATAAATCTTAGCTCTACCACTTCAACTGTATGATTTAGGCCAGTTCCTTCTCTGGGCCTCAGTTTCCTCACTTGGAAGATGAGACGATCATACCTCCATAGGGTTAGTGTGGGGATGAACGAGTCGGTGCATAGCAGTGCCGAAGAGCATCAAAGTGCCAAATCATGGCTACAACCACTTATAAGCCCACTCTCTCCAACCCAGACACCCCAGAGCTGGGCAGGGAACAGAATGTGGAGCCTCTTGGTGTAGGCAGGTCAGGGCAGAGGGAAGACGGTCTGCCATTCAGCCTGTTTTCCTCCGTCTGAAGGAGGAAGTCAGGTCTCCCAGACTCCCTGCCCTGCATGTATTAAGCACCACTACCACTGCCCCCCTCTCCCCGCTGGCACCAGGGTGCCTTTGAGTTCTAGGCACAGCTCAAGGTGGCATAGTACTGAGAGATGGCCATTGCTGAAGCGGAAGTTACAGGAAATAACTAGTGCTCTACTGAACGGAGCCTCTGAATTTCTATTAGGAGCTACAGGCTGTCAGGGAAAACCGCGTCGGCCTGTACTTCCAACAATTACACTTGAGGATGGGTGGGAGGGAAACAGGAATGGACGCTCAGAGAGCAATTAGGAAGCTCTTGCAGTGATCTAGGGTAGACATGAGAGGCAGCGGTGATTAGAGGGTTTAAGGTTGACTCTGCTCGTAGGCTAGGAAAATTGTTATTCAGATGCTGTCTCTAGCTTTTACCCCACACCCCAGTCTGATATATTAGGTTCACGTTGCTGCTAAGTTTTCAAGTTTGCCATAGGACATGTGTGCTCACAGGGTGGGGTGGGGGGGAGAGGAGGAGGAAAAGTAAGAAGTCACACCCCGAAGGGGGATGACCACTCCACAGTCCTTTCTCCATTCTCTTATGCTTTGGGGGACACATGTGCTCATGCCTGGCATGATTTTCAAATCAGCAGGTCTGGGACTTGAACTGCACAATCAGCCATGTGGGATCCAGCTGCCTTAACTTCCATGCCACCAGCTGACACCACAGCTATTAAGTTCTATCAGAGCTCTTGAGCCCACCTGGCACTGAGGTCATCAGGGAGAGGCCTGATGTCAAATCCCTCCTATGCCGTGGGACTAAGGGAGGGCTTAGCAGCTTAGGAGAATAAGCAGAACACTGTTAGAGGAGGGCAAGCCAGGCATTGCCCTGGTACCTGGGGGAAGCACACTGGCTTCCTACCACTCAAGTTGCCCATAGCCCCTAGGAGGCCATCAAGACCAAGAAATAGGGCCAGACCGATCACTCCTTCCCTCTGCATTTAGAGAAGAGCTCAGCATCTTAAACTCGACTTCAAGACATATAGCAAAGACAGGAATAGCCCCTGGGTCAGAGGTACCCAGAGCCCTGGACATATCAAGGATTGGTTGGGGGGGGTACCAGTTTCATGATTTTCCTGGTGTTTTTTTCCAGATTGAAAGTGAAAGGCAGTTTGAGTGCTAAGATGGGGGTGGGGGATGGACCAAGTCATGTGCCTGAGCATAGCTAGTGGCAAGAGCTGCAGGACAGGGGACCCTAGAGGAAACTCCCCTCAGAATGGGAAGGAGCTAAGGCTGCCCACCTATGTAGGCTGGTTCACAAGTTGGTCTGGCCTGACCCTACAGATGCTGCCCATACACGGGTCAAGGTTGACAAACTAAGGGGAGCCAGCTTTTAAGGAGAGCGCTATAGCGCATACGGACCTAGATGGGGGCTCTAGCACTTTCAGGAAATGAGACAGTGGCTGGGTCAAAACCAGAGACTATAGCTAGAGAGCTCAGGTGTCTTCACTCCATGGCCGTTTTAGCAACAGATTTCATGCAATTTAAGCAGAGAAGTTCATTTAGGAGTACATAGCTCACATGCTCTCGGCGCCAGAGAGAGGGCTCAGCCAGACACACCAGGAAAAGAATAAAATCACACCCCAGAACACTGCCTGAAGATCCCACCACTGCTATAAGCTGTAAGACTGAGAAAGCAAGTTTTAAAACACTATAGTAGGAAGACATTAACTCTCATTAAGAGTCTTGGAGGGAAGATACCTAGACAGAAAGTGTCTAGGTTTATAGACAGAAGAAAGTCCCTGAATGTCTACCCCTTCTTTCTCCCCATGCCTCAGGGAGGCATGCTGCAACTGCCACTCAGATAATGCAACTAGTCCCCCACACCAGAGAACACCCAGGTCTGCTCCTTTGTTCTAATCCAATATCAGGTGACACCTATTGTTTTTAGCTCTATCCCAAGCCTGCCATGATATTGTGATTTATGGATTAGAATATGCAAAACCACCTTAACCCTGCCCTTTATGGGATAGGGATAAATAGCCACAAGATATGAACACCCTGTATTAGGAACATTGTAAAGCTCTGGTTAGTTCCCTTCCCCTTTACCTAAAACTAGCTGATGGGGTTTCATGGGATGGCCTAGGCATTTATTACTGAAGTACACAGTGCGAGGCTGTGTACTGAAGCACTGCCAGTGTGAGGCTGCTGTCTCCTACTAACCTGCCTCCGAGTATCAGGAGGATTACCTGTGCATTCCCTCTATTTTGCCTCTACTTTTGTTTATTGCTTAGGACAATTTCACTTTCCTTGGTATAATCACTGCAGCCAACATTATAATGCTTCTTTATTTGTAGGTTCAAAGTAACATATGAATGACCAGGGGCTGTCTCCCCTACTACATCAATGGTAGAAGTATGTTTCTTGGTAGAAGCATTCCTCCATGAATCGCTGAGGTCTCTAAACCAGCAGAGCCTAGAAAACCCACGATGGAAATTGAGTTTTATATGTAGGATTCTTGTTACAGGGAGAGGGGCCATATCCATCTTCACTGTTCAGTACGTTGACCCTCACAGTCTGACCAGGAGGAAACACCGTCACAGTAGCCTCTGGCTCAGAACATGTACCACATCCCCAAGGAAGGGTCTCCAGCCCTTCCAAGCAATGAGTCCTACATGGTGCCCTATGGTGATTTCAGAAGGCTTCCCACCATTCTTGAAGGCCAGTTTCTTCCAGAAGATGAACTGTACAATGAGATATTCCATGGGCTTCTGTTTATTGCTTTACTCATGCCAAGAAGGTATCCCTCTGTCAGATGCACTCTGTATGGGGAACATTGAAGCTGAACGTTAGACCCATGGGTGTTTTGGTTTTGTTTAAATTTTTTATAAAAGACAGGGAAAGGTGTAAGTATCTGCCCTGGTAATGGAAAACGGTCAGTCCCCTCCCATTCCATAATAGGAGTCCAATGAAGGGAACTTGCCTTCCTTGGAAGTAACTGGCTGGTCTCTCAGGTTTAAGGTGCTTTATCAGGGGCCCAGGGTCAATATTGCTGACAAGTTGGTCTTAGCATCCTCAGTTAAGCTTTCTTTGATAAATTCAAACACATGGCCTTAATTCTTGCCCACACAGCACTTAATTCATGAGTGCTTTAAACAAGCACTGGGGTAGTTGGGGAGGAGTTTGACCCATCTAAGGGTAGGTCACCATCCCCATCTAAATGAGAGCCTCCTCCAGAGTGGGGCTTCTGTGGGTGTTCACCAGGATGTCATCACACTTGGGTCTGTTCTAATAGCACCTTGTTTTTTTAACCAGTCATATAATCTTGTTCTTTGTTGTTGTTGTTCCTTTCCAAGTCTATGACCAGCCAGTCACATCTTCGGCTTCTGATCAGATCTATGTAGATTTTCCTTTTAGACAGGCAGGAGTTAAAATGACCTGCTCAAAGTCTTGCCCTTTAGGAAGATTTCCTTGAGTTGGGCTAGAATGCCCCAATAGTCTATAGCCTGCTGACACCAGCATGTTGCCAAGAGCCATTTGTTTCTCAATTTTTCCTCCATGAATCATAAGGATAGACTGAGGAATGAGTGACAGTGTGGGAGGATTATGTATACCATGTTAGCTAAGAGGTTCCATGTGCTCTTAGGATCTGCTTGCACTTTCTCTTATGTAGAGCTTGAGTTGACAGAGCCTGAGCATGGGTGTATCAACAAACACCTGGTTCACATAGGCAGTATTTACTTTCTACAGGGACTCAATTGGAAAGCCAAGCACCACTCCTCAAGTTACTTGCAGAGGTCTGGCTTTGTCCTATAGCCCTAGTGACCTCCACTGAGATACTACTAAGGGTTTACTGAAAGCTCCATATGGTGTCAGAAGTTTCCTAGGAGATATTTGAACACTGACATCCTGCTGGAACATAAGAGACAACTGGCAGAGCTATGCAACTGCATTCTGTCCTGGTAGAAGTCCTTCTTGCTCTAAGCACCACTCAAAGCCATTGGATTTTCATGCCATTATTGAAACTGGGGTAAATGTGTACATGCCATCTTCAGAAATCAAAGCAACTCACCAAGTGCTCTGGTTCCTACTAACCTCAGAAAATCTAGCAACAATGTGCTCACTAAAGACAAGGCTTCGAGTGAAAACTCTTAAAGATCATGAAAGGTATGACAAAGTCAAGACCTAGCTAGAGGAGCTAATGGGCAGCTTTAAGAATATGTCATTCTCAGTCACTATTTTGTTTCCACATGTTACAGAATCTCAGACCTTTGTGCTGGCTGGACTGTGACTCCCTTTCAGCCTCCCAGTCCTGTCTCTTAAAGGTGCAGTTTCCGCAGCCAGCACAGCTGGCAACTTTTCTCAGCTAAGGTTCTTGGTCACAGGCAACAGAAGCAGTGCTGTCAATTGAATCAGGAAAAGGAACATGTGACAAGAACTGGGGGTAGCCTGCAGAATTTCTAGGAGGGCTGGAGTCTAACCTGAGGACACTCCATTGATCACAAAATACTATCCTATTGGTAGGATAAGGGAGTGGCAATTTCAAGTGCTGCCCGAGCTTGGTCTTGTTGCAACTGTCACACTTTTGGAAAGATTGCCATGCACAAGTCCCAGAACCTTTGCCTCATTGGCTTCCATTCCAAGTCTGAGAAGGTTTCACCTGGATCAACTGAGCAAGGCATAAGTCTACATTACCTGCAAGAGATTGGGAAAGGGGTTATCTGAATTTTAGTTGCTGTAAAGGTCAAGTGAATTCTCCTCCCATTAAGACTTAAAAGGGCAGAGTTTCCCAAACATGGGCAGAAGGACTCAGCCAGCCAGGAGCCAAAGGTAGCAAGCACGGCCAATTTTACTTATGTAAACCTGACTTCCCCGGGTGTGTTTCTCACCTGTTCATGTAGGATAGAAGCCCCTTGTGGTTCTACCTCAGCTAAGGGAGAGACACTGGCCAGTTTCCAGGCAGAAGTTGTCTTACCTGTTTGCCACCATTTGGAATGTCTTCACTCACAGGGCCACCAAGGGAGGGTCCCTGATGCCAAGCCACAGCCATAAGACCAACTTTCATGCCAAAACCTGAGCTGCAAGGCCACCACTGCCATGGTACCAGGGCAGTGCCTATTTCTGAGCAAGGTGGGGTAAGGTGAAGAAAATGCCTTTTACAACTTTGTTAGGATGATGTTCAGGAATCCATACTATAACCTTTGGCTTGTAGCTTTGTGACCAAAGAAAGCTCTTCCAGTTTCTGTCTGCACTCCTTGCCTCAAGCTTCATAGGATATGCAATAGGTTGTCTGTTAGTATAATATTTGACCCCATCTCCCTCTATGCCTAGATGGGAAGCTCATATCACATCACATTCTTTCTTCAGCCATACCTATGGTGTGAGAGTTTGAGGCCCCTAGCTACACCCTTCCAGACATACCTTCATGGATGATTAGATGGCACATTTAATCCAGGCCTGGGTCTACTTATAGCAGAAATAAGTGTTTGTACTTTTTGGTCCTTTACATCTGCTCTGGCCCAAGTCTTCCAATTCTTCTGCAAAAATTCTAGAACCTATACAGTTAAAATAGGTCAGAGTAAGAAGTCCTGGATAGAGCCCAAGTCTCCTTATAATGGGGACATGTGTGCTAAGGCTGTCTGCCACCTTTCTGCACATAACTCCAGCATCTAGTGACACTACTGCATTTCTGCAGAGACAAGAATTCTAGATACTAGCCCAGATACACTGAAGAGGCTGTTGGGTGCCCTTGGGACCTCAAATACAGGGACTAGGAGATAGCATAGAATCAAGATCAGGGCCTACCAACCAGGTACATGCAAACACCCAAATTCCCACTGTGGATATGGGAGTGTTCTTACCCAAGATGACTTCCGTAAGTTCTAACAAGAACACAGGGAGCCTTTAAGCCTAAGGAGAGAAGCCGCTCTTGAGAATGACTTGGAGTCTTGAGGCTGCAGTATTGTTCTGGCACTAGTTTTACAGTCCACGCAAAGTAATTTCAGTTCTCAGAACAAGAGCCAAGCTGTGAAGTACAGGTGCCAAGCCCATCAGGGCCAGGAGTCCTTTGAGCAAAGGTGGCTTGGTCTTCTCAGTATATCTTCCCAGAGCAAAATAGCTACAGCCATCCTGTGGGCTAGCTTGGACAATGTACAGAGTTCATGAAGGTTCTATTTGTTCAGTTACCTAGGTACCTAACTCCCCATTGTCCTAGATTCCTCTGGAGGAGTCAGCCACTTAAAGGAATGTTGGCACTCCCAGAAAAAAAAGAGTGAAGAGCTACTTCGCTTCCATGTGTATCAATTCCAGTTGCCTACTGGAAAGATCTTTTTACATCTCCATAGCCAGGACTGCTATGGAAGCCACCACTTGATTAAGACTCCTGTGATGACAACCAGCTGCAGGGCCACCATGGGTCAGATCAAGTTATCCTCTGTGCTGGGGTCCTCCATCCAAACCCAACAGTCTCCAGCTTTAATTCCAGCCCAGACCACAACACAAGTACTGGCTTAAGTAGGAATACGAACTGTTGCCTTGGCATACCTCCCATGAAGTTTCTGGAAAATTCTACATTTAATGGCATTTCGTGGCTGTTGATACTTCTGGCCAAGTCACTTACCCAGTGACATTTGCCTGGCTCTGAAGAATGTCTGTGAGTTGAACATAAGACAAGTCTAGACTTCCATCTTCAGACCCCTGGCATAAGGGGCACTGAGGCAGGACTCCCCACCCCAGCTCCAGCCCTGGGACTCCCCCAAGCCAGAGACCCCTATCTCTGTCATCCAGGAACACCCTCAGCTCTACAGACACCTCACTTCCATCTTCAGACCCCTGGTGTAAGAGACACTGAGGCAGGACTCCCCACCCCAGCTTCAGCACCAGGACCCCGAAGCCAGAGACCCCTATCTCTGTCAGCCAGGTCTAGAATTACAGGTCTGAAATATTCTAGTATTTTAAGACTCTCTGGGATTCTCCCTTTTAGTGAACCACCTGTGAAAAAGGAGATACTTTTCTTCATACACCCGAATAGAATACTCCTCTTCACATCACATTGCTAAATACAACACAAGAGAGACTTCGAAACTCATGAGTCCACAGCAAAAAGGAAACACAGTTGCTCCTAGTCAAAAAAACATTCTCCTAAAAGGTACTCCAAATTGATTACATATTCCAATGGCTAGAAGTGGATGAAGTTCTTCAGGTCTGAATAAACCAGGAAATATGTCTCCATCAGAAAAACACAGGTACTCTCTTCTATTTCTCTAAAAACCTGAGCAAGTTACCAAAATGTCAGAGAAAGAATTTAGAACATTCACGGTGACCAAATTCCATGAGTTTGGACAAAAAAGAGACAACGAACTCCAGGATATGAAAGCAGAAATGGACATGCTAAGAAAGAATCAGATGTACCTATTGGAGATGAAGTCTGTAATACAGGAAATCAAAAACTCTCCTGAAAGTATTAAAGGTTAATGAGACCGTGCTGAAGATTTAATCTCTGACATAGAAGATAAAACCCCTGACAGAGAGAAAACCGCCAAAAAGATAGAGAAAATAACAACAACAACAACAACAACAAAAAACATGAGGACAATATACGAGAAATACTAGATTTCATTAGGTGCACTAGCATCCAAATAATTGGTAGCCCAGGTGACAAAACTAATAGGGGCATGGAAAATCTATTCCATGAAATCCTGTAAGAAAATTTCCCAAGTCCAGAGAGGCACTTAAACATCCAGACCCAAGAAATACAAAGGACCCCAAATCGAATCAATCCAACAAGATCTTCCCCAAAGCATATCTTAGACTGGCAAAAACAATTTCAACCAAGATTATTATATCCAGCAAGATTATCCTTCATATGGGAAAAAAAGGTTAAAATCTTCTCAAACAAAACCTGAAAGAATTTGCCAACACCAGGCCAGCTCTCCAAGAAACCCTGAAGAAAGTACTGTTTCAGGAAAACTAAAGAAGAAACAGCCAGGAAAAAAGGCAACTAAGACAATGGCCAACTTAAACGTAGGGACAGGTCCACTAACATTGATAACAACATTGAAATGTTAATAGATTAAATTCTCCAATCAAGAGACACAGACTGGCTGAATGGATTAAAAAACAGAAACCCTCTATCTGTTGCCTACAGGAAACCCACACTTCATGGATAAAGATATACATAGACTGAAAGTGAAGGGTTGGAAAAAGATTTTCCATGCAAATGGGAACCAAAAAAGAGCTGGAGTCGCAATATTAATCTCTGACAAAATAGGCTTTAAAACAAAAACTGAAGAGACAAAGAAGGGCACTATATTGTAGTAAGAGAGTCAATCGATCAAGAAGATATAATGCTTATTAATATCTATGCGCCTAACGTAGGAGCACCCAGATATGTGAAGGCACTGCAACACACTAACTGTTGGAGACCTTAACTCTGCACTATCCCCTCTGGACAGATCTAGACAAAAAAAATAAGAGATAAAGGATATAAATGATACCATAAATCAAATGGACTTAACAGACATCTATAGAACTTTCCATCCAAAAACAACGAGATATACTTTTTTCTCACCCTCACATGGAAACTTCTCGAAGATTGACCACATCAAAGGGCACAAAGCAAGCCTCTACAGATTCAAAGGTATAGAAACTATATCCAGCATCTTCTCTGACCATGATGGAATTAAACTTGAGTTTAATTTCAAGAGAAATGCTCAAAAATACTCAAATACATGGAAACTAAATAACCTACTCCTGAAT